AGAGCGGCGCCTTCGCCGACATCCGACGTCCGGTCGATCTTCAGCTTCAATACAATAAAGAGCTAAAAGTTCTCAATCGGGATGTGTTTGAGGATATATTTGCCCAAAATATGAACAATAATATAACAATCGCTTCAATTAATTGTAACAATTGTCGCAATTATTGGTTGCTTGAAAAGTATGGCTCAAAAACAGATCTCATTAAATGCGATAATAATCTCAATTTAACCGATGAAAGTAACTTTAAGACCTGTTCGCCAGAATCTGAGCTATAAATTTGTCGGAAAATGTAATATTTAATTAATTATGTGATACTTTTCCGCCATATCCTTACATTTTAAGCGTCAAATCTATTATTATATGATAACAATGTTAATCTCGTTTTAATTATGTTAATGACTTTACTATTTGTTAATAATTAATAAAATATTTTCAAATTTAATAAAATGAAATTTGCTATAACTATAAAGTAAATTGTACTGTATTACTGATTATTAGCTGACATCTGGTGATTTGCAAACTAGATGATTATTTTTACATTACCAATTTACCATGTATTCAAATATTGCATTCTATCAAATGAATGATAGAATAATTGTTAGCCACCAGAAGTCCACTCTTTCTGTACTATCATTTAAAATACAATTCATGTCATATATTTGGGTCTCATTTAATGTATGAATTAATTATTATCATTAGATTGTCTGAATAATATCACAGACAATGTAATGTATAATCATATCATTTATAACATAAATATTATACCTTTATATCGCAATATTTTGTGATAATAGTTTTATGTTTCATTTTAGCTGCACATAAGAGTGTAATACAAACACCTTTTATGTTGTAAATGTATTTGTTATGCCTTTTAATATTTATTATAACATATTATTTTAATCATAAAATTATTAAAAGGAAATGAAATCATAAAATTAAGGAAATAAAACAAATCATTGAAACATACATAACATAGAAACCGTTTGTAATCACTTATACATGTATCTCAACAATAAATTGTTTGTCATATGAGTTAAACAAGAAAACCCATTAAGACTAACAGCGAGACAGAGATTTATAAATTTAAAATTCGAGAAAATATTTATTTAGATTTTAATTTAAAAAGTTAAAAATTGCTATCGTTTACAGACAAAATAGTGTCGATAAAACTTTATCTCAAAAAATAGTATAAATTCTTGATAAGTGCATTAAAAACAACAGTTTGAGTGAAAATGTGGATTTATATTGTGGCGTGCGAATTTAATTAAATTTATTTAACCATATTTGCTATTAATTATATTCAATGTTAAGGTTGTGTCAACACTTCAATTTTAACTCTCAAACTTATAACATGTAAAATGAGATACAATTGTGTAAAACTTTATTTGTTTAACAATAAATTAAATAATTGTTTTAATACTACAAACCACGTCTCAATATCATTTAATATTTCTGTTAAATACTTACATATTTGAAAATAAGTGCCATAACTATGAGTAAACAGATATTATTAGCGCATATTTTGATGAACACAATACCAATGATACTATCAATGGATGGTTTTGTTAATATGGATATAATTAGTGAACATTGTTTCGTTCAATCGATCGGAGAAATAATTAATTGCCAATTGATATACCAGGAGAGTATTGTCCACGACATCGGCAAACGACCATTCAATATAAATATGTCTCAAATTCATAACGATAATCAACTCAAGACATTGTGCTGTGGTATGTCATTATAACTAAATATATTTTATAATACAAAACCAAATATCATTGATCTGTACCTAAATCAGTGTTTTTATATCATATTCACGAATGCAAAGGTATGTGGGATATGAAGTCGTGTATGAAAGGGGCGGTCATAAAGTGGTCGCGATGTCGGCCCACAAGTATCCTCCGGTTCTCCAAAGATATCGATACGATAAGCGCGCGAACAGACTATCAGGTCTGTCACCAACACTACACCGAGGACTCTATCCGCTGCGGTATTCCTGTTTGGCTGATCGTCGCTATGGTTTTGATGGCTATCTTAATACTGATTGTCATCACTTGTTTCGCTCGTATTGTCTGCAGACGAAGGCAGAGGACAGACCCCATAGAAGACGATTCAATTCATTTTGTCCGACACTAGTTCAAAGTTTTTTTGTTACGTGCAAAAAGTGTTAAACACAGTCGTCTTGTCGATGTATTTGTGCCTAAATTATATTTAATTTATTTACCATTTATTGATATTTATTTTATTGTTTTGTTTTTGTTTGTATACTTGAAAACTTCTGATAATGACTACCAGTTTCAATGATCCAGACATTGAATTCATAATATCATTAAATTTATTATATTGATTATTTTTGTCAAAGTCATGGACTTTATAAATAGTTATCACGAATGCTAGAAATTGTTGGCAAATCTAATGAAAAATTGTTTTTTTTAAATTTTACTTTTGACACATGCAATAAAACTGGATAACTTATTTAAGTTTATCACACTTACCATTATAAGACTTATTTACCATATTTTGGTCCATGTTTCATTAAATTATTGCAAAACAATCAAAATATTTTACTTACTTTTAATAAATTTTATTTTAAATTACAATCTTAAATCTTAAATTTAATTTATTAAAATATTGTTTATTTAATAATTAAAATAAAATTTCATTGTTATTAATTAAATTTTTTTATAAATTAAATCCTCCATTATCAATTGCTATCATGTTTGATTATATCTAAATCGTTAACAACCGATTAATGTTGTTTATGTTATTTTGTTTAAATAAATTCACTTAATTTTATATATTTTATATGTTATGTATGATATTGTTTATTAATTTGTAAATCTAAGTTTAATTAATAATAATCATAATTATCTAATAATTTATATAAATAAAGCAAAAATAAAAATAGTTAAAATTACTGTTTACATAAAATGGCAATAATTTGCATTATAATTATATGATAACAATTAGTATAATAAGTGTATTGTACATGTTACATGCACTGTACTGTATACACAATGAAATATTATAATTCAGCATTTATATAAAATTCAAATAATAAATTGAAATTTTTATTAAAATTCTAATGTCAACATTTTCTTAATTATATTGATATAAGTTATTATTGTTACCATTTATTGTGTTTATATGTGGCATGATCCATTTGTAATTTAATTATTATATAACTTATAAGTTATAACAATATAATGCATAACAAAATATTTTTCTGAAAACAAAATACAAATTTTATTGAGTTTATAATGTATTTGCATACATAATGATCCTTAATAAATGCAAACAAATAGTATTATGTCTGGTAAATAATCTTGTTAATAATAATTCGTATGTATCTAATAGATTATATAATAATAATGTAGTTTTTAAAAATAAATATAGCATTACATTACAATGAACCATGCTAATTTATTTATCTATAAAATAAGTGAGTAAATTATACAAATATTTTGGTCATGTGCAAATGCGTCTCATGATTGAACTGTTTGATAATTATTTGTTGTTAATTAACATAATTTAATTGCAAATATGTTATTAAATATAGATTTCGACAGAAAAATAACAGTGTGTTTATAATTGCAATCAATGGCCTTAAACTGGCGGACAAAACAAAACAACAAGAATTCAAACAAAATAACATGGTTTGGAGAAAAAAAGAAATAGCAAGATGATTGAAAACGCTTGGTTACTATGCATATGCGATGGTCTGTGTATCCATACCATATATATCTGGATACAAAATGTCACTCAAATTAATTATATCTAATTCTGTAATCTATTATAAACTTGAACTTTAAAACCCGAATAATATATCAATAAAAAAGATACCGTTTGTGAAGAGAAAAACTCGTTTTCTTTACGATATTTGCGATTGAAATGAGAGGAGAAAAGTCTTCCGGTTTTCAAAGAGCATTGAGTGAGAAAAAAGTGATGACTTTTTGATTGAATGCACGGAAAAAGTTGTTTAGAAACACAAACCGAAAGTTCATCCCAAAAGGACTCCCAAATAAACTATCCCTAAGTTTTCGGTTGTGAAATGTTTTCGCACGAAATCTTAATTTTATACGAGTTTTAGTAAAATCCGTATTTATATAATGGTTACAAAGCATGCATTGAATTTGTTTCAGAGACTGCAATGCATTTACAGTTAGTGTATAAATAGGGAAGACATTTGGCTATCAATTCTGATAACTTATTTCTAACCAAAAACAAAATATAATATTTTCGGTTTAAAAATAACAAATCTTTGTTTTTGAACTACATTTTCATTTTTTATAAAAATTTCATTTTCTTGTTGACAGGTGTGTGAGTGTTGTGTTTGTTGTGCTGAAAGACCGGTGTATCTGCCAAACAGGTCCTCCCAATCAACTACTCCTCGGCTAACTTCACAGCAAAACCAGTGCAACAAAACTATAGTTCAAACGACTGTTAAATAATTGCTAAACCCTTTCCTTTTTCCTGAATCTCATGATTCGGTGAACAAAATTCAACTTTTCATTCAATTATGTCTTTAAGAACTCATGTGATAATCATTAATAAAAGATGAATAAAAAACAAGTCTAACCACAAAAGGACGGCTGCGGTGAGAGAAAGAGAGAGAGAGAGAGAGAGAGAGAG